TTAGTAATAAGACGTGCTGCTTTATTTTGCAAGGCCTCCAGTCTGTTTGTTAAGTATGCCTGGTTTGGGTTCCAAATCATAGACGCGTAGTCAAGTTTGGATCGAACCAATGAAGTATAAGCTAAAAGTTTAGTTGACTGACTAGCTAAATACAAATTTCCCCTTATGAAACCAAGTGTTTTACTTGCCTTGGAAATTATAGCATCAATGTGTTCATTCCACGTAAGGTTGGACGACAAATAGACAACCAGATATTTTAGCGTAGAAACGTTTTCGATAGCTGTGTTATTAACAGAATACAAATTTAGGTGCATGTTAGTTGACCTAGTAAATGTCATAGCTTTTGTTTTGAAAGCATTTATTTGCATTTGCCAATCCTCGCACCAGTTAACAATATTATCCAGGTCGGTCTGTAAAGTATTAGAATCTTCAGAGCTGTTAATTTTTCTGTAAATTACGCAATCGTCGGCGAATAACCGAACGTTAGAACTTAAGTTATTGCCTACGTCATTAATGTAAACCAAGAATAAAATTGGTCCCAGTACAGAGCCCTGAGGCACTCCTGATTTGACTTCGGTTAAGGGGGAATTGTGGTCATTTACGGAAATGTATTGATAGCGCTTGGTTAAAAATGCTGCAATCCAAATGAGTACGCTGCTGTTTATGTTAAGCCGGGCAAGTTTCATCATTAGGCGCTCATGCATGGGGTACTTTATCAAATGCTTTTGCAAAGTCGATAAATATGGCATCAATTTGGGATGAGTCATGAACGGCCTGATGTAGGTCGGTTACAAGCTCAAATAATTGGGTTTCACACGAACGCCCTCGAAGAAATCCATGCTGATGAATATAGAAAAGTTGTGCTTTGTAAGATACGTCATAACGGCTGATGATATGATATGTTCTAGAATTTTGCGTGGTATGCTTGTTAAGGAGATCGGTGTATAATTTGAAAGTTCTGATCGGTTGCCGGATTTAAATACGGGAACGACGCGTGCGATTTTCCAGTCATCCGGTATGATATACCAGTGTCGAGTGACTGTTGAAAAATAGCGGCTAAGATAGAAGCTATAATTGGTTTAGTCATTTTGAGCAGTTTTGGACAAATGCCATCGGGTCCTGGGGCGGAATTATTCGAAAGTCGATCAATGGCACATTCAATTCCTTCCAGTGTGATGGTAATGCCACTCATAAAAGTCAAAATAGAAGCTGGTTGAAGTTCAAGTGGTAGTGGGCTTTCATCGGTGAAAACAGAGCTAAAAAAAAGAGTTAAATTCGGTCGCAACCTCGGATGGTGAAAGTAATTCGCCTTCTTTGACTATATCTATACTCACTTGTGAGTTCCGTATGGGATTGATTATATTCCAGAATTTTTTTGTATTATTTTTAACACGCTGACAATATCATTATTATAGAATTTTTCTTTGGAATCTTGAATTAAAGATTTGCAGTTTCTTGATGTTTCGCGATAGCGTTCCCAATCACCATCCGAGTTAGAGGACTTGGCTTTTGAGTACGAGCGTTTCTTCTTATTTATTGCTCTTTTTACGTGTGACGTGAACCATGCGCTTTGAGCTGATGAAACGATTTCGACCTTGGGGACTAGTTTGTTTTTGACACAGATCCAGTTATCATTAACATTGCGGTTACGCATTGTGCACAAAAATTCAAAGCAAAAAGATGACAACTCTTGGAGGATAAGATCAACATTTGCACGTGCGTGACTGTAGATAGTTTTCTTTGGCTGCCCAGGTTTGTTATTTTTTAATGCATATTCACAGTGGAGAACATTATGATAACCAATAGATTCCAAAACGAGTAGTGCTTTTTCTTTATCATTTTTTTTTTCACTTTTCTTTTGCGGTGCCCATTTGAAAAACTGGAGATTATTGCGGAAGCCACAAACCACCCAAAGAAACTGGTGCGTGGTGCCGTGTGCAATCTACGATACTTCTTTCTGCAGAGCATTTCTGAAAAACGCCAGCATGGCCAAACGGCGATTCGAAAGAGGTCTTTTTGAGTTTCCTTTCGCATTCCTTGTTTTGTCCATTCTTAATTCTTTCTGCCTTTTCTATCATGTTTCTAGAAAACACTAAACCTTCAACTGGAAGTTCGTTTGTTTATGGTTCCAGCACTTTGCTTGAACTATGCTCCTTCTAGCATAACTAATATTGTTGCTGTTGAGTTCCGGATTTCGGTATACAATGCGTGTTACTGATGCTTTCATACGGCATAGTTTTTCATTGCAACTGATATCTGTAAATATGTGGTTATTAACAATTATATGTAGTGTAAGCATCCTTTGTAATGCCTTCATGGCACTCAGAGGACAGCGATAATATAATAAATCAATTTCATTTGCAAGTTTCAATGCGCTGCACATTTTAAATATTGCGCTGCACATAACAAATGTCTGTATGGAGTATAACTATCCGCGACATAGAGAAAAGTATTTTAGTTTCTGTGTTCAGAAACACTTTTTTTTTGTCTTTTTGCAAAACTATCTCTGAAATATCCTGTCATATCAATTACAAATTTATCTCAGTATCTGTATTTTATGCTTCCAAACCACGAATTTCAATATCTGTACTCCAGAATTTTTCGGGCATCTCTGCCCATCCCTTAGCACACATCCACATGGCCTACAATGAGCTGCCAATTGAGACGCGATTGCAGCATCTGATAGCATTAGCTCATGCTCTCTTAAGCGCACTTTTATGTAACGCCCCTTTTCACCTACATATTCGCAGCCGCAAGACATTGGAATCCCATATGAACCACGCCAGTAGTGCAAGGAGCATATCTGTGGACATGACTGGAGACACATTTGTTCCCTTTCCCTGGCTGCTGACACAACGCTCTATCCACTAAAGTACACACATTGTGCACTTTATTACGTGCTGAGAATGACATGTTTATGCCATAACGAGCACCAACATTTTTCAAACCATGTGCTATCCTGTGTATGTATGGGATAACTGCCTGCCTCTTTTTCTTGCTGATTTCTGGGGCACTAGAATCACAATGATGAAACTTCTTGAGCTTTGAAATAAGTTTTTCCGACAAGGAGTAAATCACGTCACCCGGAAAGTAAGAATTTGCAAGGCGAGCAACTTGTGTATCAAATGCATGCGCCATAAGGTGCTCGCGTAACTTCTGAAGAGCAGCACCCAGCACGGTTGACGCAATGACTCCCTGTATGGTTTTGAGTGGCCAGAATTAAAATTCAGAATTGGCTTTATGAATCTAGGTTGGCATTGCTATATATGTGATTTTTGACAAAAGCCTGTCTTAAATCGAGAAACTGTAACTCATCAATTTTTGGCAACTCCAAAGTTAAATGCTGACATCCCGTTTTCCTTAACATCTTTCTTCATATTAGCAACCAGCATAGAGCAATTGTTAATGTACAGTAGAACTAAGAAGTCATGGACATATCAAACAGCGAGTGATGATAACCAATTCAAATGCTTTTGCAGCTGCCCGTCTACGTATCCAACAAAAATATAACTAATTACAGGTATATTCATGATTCAATGCAGATACCAGATTTTCGACAAAATTATTTCCCTTCCAAGACACAAGGGTAGAATTTATGTGGCCTGCATGAGCTCTAAAAACAACGCAATAGAGATGCCACACTGGCACTGAAACAACAACTCATCATTATCTTCTTTTATGCACTGCTTTGTACACTTCAAATCTTCACATTGGGGCAAACAATAATATAAATCTTTTACGTCTATACCGAATGCATTTCGGCACAAAGAAGGTTGTTCACTTAGTGATAAGATGACAGATTCTGAGTTGGAAATTCTTAGCGAATCACAAGTCTTCAAACACTTCAAATTTCGTTGAAGATACTCTGAAACATTTATTTACCAAGTGTCTTTTTCTGAAACAAGAGCTTTTAGTGGCAACATGAATCTTCACTGAAATAAAAACTGACAGTTTTTGCCTTTTTTGCTTTTTTCAAACTTGCCACTACGCGTTCCCGATCAAGCGTTGGTAACAGGGCATAAACTTATTCATTCAGTCGCCCGCTTTTTGCATCAACACCTTTTTTTATTAATATAGGGGGTTTTAGTTATACAATAAATTTGCAAAGCAGAACATTGCCATTATAAAATTAAAATGGTAAACAAAGTAATATACAGTTCCATAGGACAAAGATGCAAAAAGAAAAAAAAAATTGTGGCAGGAATGAAAACTCAATAAGAGAGACACAGCTATAGTGCAAAAAAATATATATACAGAAAATTGCCATGAAAAAAATTGGCCCCGTATTTGCATACTCGACTAAAATTGTCGTCTAAAGACTATTGTCTTTTGCCTGAAAAGAGTGAATATAATGAAATATTTATTTGATGTTTTGCACGAGATATCTGGTGAATGGGATTTTGGAGGTGTTGTGTGAGAAATGAGTGCCATCTGGCGGTATTCTCAGAAAACGAAAGGACGGCCTTTGTTATAGCGAGCACGCATCATGCGTAAAATCTTGGAGGCCATATTTTGTAGATTTCAAGATAGGTAGCAGCACAGTACCACCTTAGCAAAGCGTAGGAGACTCGCCTTTTCGTGCGAAGCGTCGAATTGTCAGCTGCAGTGCTTAGAATTACTTCTTTTCGCCGTTTCTAGTATAAATAAACACAGTGCAGAATATCGACGTGTTGATATTGTGCCTCAAATATTTTGCTTTTTATCAACAATCGTAGAAGTATGAACGTAGAAACTTGAGCAATACTGGTGGATGCTGTGGATGTGGTCATACCTGAGCCTTTTTGCTGACAGACAGACCAAAATTGTTGCGTTGAAGTATCCCAAGCAAGACTATCATCTTTAAGGAGAAAATATGTTTACAATGAAAGAAGAGTAAAAATAAGCACATACATGCACTTACAAACTCACACAGTGATATTTCCAAGAAAATATTGAATTGGTTTACAAAGGAGGCATGATCAATGAATCAAGCGATGTTGCCCGACAGTGTGTTCCAGTGATGTGTGCTTCGAAGTAATGTGAGTGTTTATACATAATTGTGCGTGCCAAAAAGGCTGTATTTTGAATTGGTGATCAATATGTTTCAAAATATTATGAGGTGGGTTTGTGCAAGCTTCACGAAGGCAGATTTACTATGATAAAATGTATGAACATGCAACAACAATGACGGCAGTCAGCGTTTTTCAAGAAGGGGTAATGAAAGTGAGTGTGTAATATCTGTAGTGCTGCAGTTGCGAGAAAACCACTTGGGGATAAATCCTGCTGCTTAATTTTGTATTCATTCTAGTTAATGGATGAGATATGATTGATGTGGGTTCTAGATGATGGATGCATATTCTATCTTTGAACGGACAAGTGTAGTGTACGCTATCATTTTAAAGGTATAGCTCACCAAGTAAAGGTTTTTTTAATAAATCCAAGTGCTTTTGACACCTAACTAGTCATGATATCGATGCGCTTATTCTAAGATAGGTAAGAAGATAAATGGATTCCAAGATATTTAAACAGGGATACTTTTTCAATGGGGACAGCTTGAATTTCATATTAACTCATTTCTGTTTTATGTGCTCTTGTAAATGTCATGACCTTGGTTTTGGAAGTGTTAATTTGCATTTGCCACTGGTGACACCAAAATGCGATTTTATTAAGGTCCAACTGTAATGACTTGTTAGCTTGGGTGCTGTTAATTTTTCTATAGATGATGTAGTTGTATGTAAATAATCTGATAGTAGATGATAAACCATGTCTAATGTCGTTGATAAAAATGAGAAACAAAACTGGTCTCTAGATTGATCCCTGGGGAACACCAGACTTTACATGTGAAAGTGAATATGCGTGTCGATTCACGTAAATTGATTGGCTGCAATTGTTCGGAAAATGATTTATTCAGCTTTTTTCCAAAGCAGTGGCTATCTTATCATTATACATTGAGCCATCTAGAGTTAAAAAGAAGCCTTCCTTGTCAGCAACCAAAACACGCAACTTAGCTTCCATATGCGTCTCAGACAGCATGAACAATGTTGTGAGGAGTGACCATGCTATGTACAACAAAGGCAAGCTTAAAAAGCCAGTAGACTTTTTTTGTAAAGCTAAGTTGCGTGTTTTGGTTACATTCGTGCTACCTTTGTTTACGTACTCTTCTATGAACATAATGCTAAAAATACTCATGGATTTAATAACACCATCTCAAGAAAATGAAATGAGAAGAGAGTGTGCTACTCTTGAAATATCTGCAATAAATGCATAGTGGAGCACGTTTGCAGCTGCATCGCCAATAATAATAATAGCAGTAATATTATAAAAGGCAAGACATAGCCCGGCAAACCCCTTGTGATGGCAGTTCTAACATAAGCACCTAACTAAAAGGCCTTCAAGCCAAGCCGAAATTGTGGCCACGACAAATATGCACAAATTTACCGATGTGAGAAATGCTGTGCTTGAAAAGTCAGATATGGTATGTGATATGTAGAAGGAACATACATCAAAATAGTGCATGTACCAACATGGAAGATAGGGAATGCTTTAGTCAATGAAAAGAACAAGCTGCGAGCGGAAATTTTAGTGCTTTTTTATTTTTTCTGTGGTGCTTAGGCATCTAGAATTTTCCCCCTTAGCTTAATTACCTCCCTGAAGCTATGCACCATCTTGCCCATTAACAACTATTGTTAAACTATTGCATGTGGCATTGTTGATGCAAAATGACCTTAGAGTGTATGCTAGAGCTCCTGCAGTATCACCGGCTGAATGTGACAACCAGTTCACCATTTATAGGACACGACGTATTTACTTCTTCAATATATCTGTTCGCACAATCTTCATTGGAGTCATACAAGCTTCAAATATGGTGCTTCCACAAAGAAATTGTTCTTCCTGTGCTGTGACCAACAGGAAATATATGAAGACACTAACGAAAAGAGATCACAATTAGGCTTAGCGGTGCGATGTCTGCCTCAATAAATTAATGTAATAAATTAATGCAAGTGTGCTTATGTCACCATGGTGTCGCCAGTTTTTATTACTACATTTGATATGAACCTCTGCTCGCTCCACCATGGTGTTCCTGGGGGTGTACACAGTCTTACCTCTGAGACAGCATTGCCAGAACTAATTTCACTGTCACAAACTTGAACAGGTGTGCGACAAGCATGTGCCAGTGCAGAGAAGACAAGAGAAGCGGTCTCTGCTTACATGTTCAAGGTCCTATGCACGCACACCGGAGTATGATTTTGCAGTGTCTTACATTTTGAGTGGAGTATACATCGTGATGGCTGGAGCCATCTCTGTGGACACCAGCTAGACTGTCACAATGTGCATACTGTTGCTTGAGACAACTGCTGAGGACAAAAAAAGGGTACCGTAGAAAAATATCTTTAGGCTAATGTAAGGACTTGTGGTGAGGAGACTCTCAAAAGGTATATGGTGTGTCATCTTGCAATAGAGAAATAACATTTATACCTAGTTTATGTTAGTAGGAGTCTGCTAAACATTGGCCATACTAGCTTGTGGTTAGAGAAGGATGATGTCCAGAAGATACCCTCCTGAAATGTCAACCTGCACCGTCCTCCTTTGCCCTTCTTGGTGCACTGGATGTTTTGCCCTATAGATACTAATTCCTTCAGTGGGTGCTCTTGAAGGGCTTGTGAATAAGCTCACTCTTACCACCTGCTTTACCCAAGGGCCAATCCTGCTGTTGGAACTGTTTGCTTGGCAGAAATTTTTAACAGGAAAAGAAGCTTCACTCGTTACACAAATAAAGCTACAGCATTGCAAGATTACTATGATGTTATGTACACAGACCTCCCACATATAACTCACTAAAATGTCACCACTTACCTTAATGGTGAGCCTGATTAAGCCTTAAGAAAGCCTGTAAGTTTCTTGATCCTATACTTTTTAATCAGTACGTGAACCTTGAAAAAACAAGATAGTCACGTGCAGTGCATAAAACCAGTGCTTATGAAGTGCAATGATGCTATCGGAAGCATCAGCAAAAGTAAATTCACCCTGCTAGAAACCAAATTCTGCATGAAGCCTGTAATTGTGCTGTTCACAAAGTCTTCTCAACAACTTCATTACTTCTACTTCTGCAATTTGCATAATCCTGTCTCATGCATACCTTGCTGTCAACCAAAAAATTATTCACCTCTGAGGTGTTACTCATGTGACCATGCTGCATACCTCATACCTGCAAGCCTCAGTGCTAACATAATAAAATTGAAGACTTCAATAAAGTAATGCTCTCTGCTACCCAACCCTTCAAAAAAAATTTTTTTGCATCCACTTCAAACCTGTTTTTTTAAAGACTGAACAGGCACAGCGACGTGACTCATGAAAGGCATTTCCGCAGCTTGTGGAGCAACTAAAACCTCTTTGGAGCAGCATAAAAGCGGCCTGAAGCTTTTAAGCTAGTGCTGTTGCACCACATGTTACAGGGAACTAGTTCATGAACATATGCATGCATGTTCACTTGGACTTCTGCTCAATATAAACGTAGGCTTTTTGCTTTTTTGCAGACATCCCCAATTTATATCAAGCTATCAACTGCTTTCCGGGAATTCACATGGTATTTGTAAATGACTCTGGCTTTCAGTGATAGTTTAGCTACGATATTGAAGCACAGACTGGTAAGACTTTTTATGCATTGTATTTACTTTCCAAAAAAAAAAACAGGTCTCATTATATTAATGCTTTTATTAGTACAACCTAATCGTTCAATGTGTGGAGAAGTGGTTGCTGTCATCGCTTATGTACAGAATTGTTCCTGATTGATGAGCGCTTCATAAAAAAAGGGTTTTGTAAGTGGTCCTTACTGCCCATTATTTATTACAGCTCAACAAAATTTAGAGTTATGGGGGAGTGAGTAGTTACACTTGGCAAACTGTTTAACATGTACAGTCGTCAAGGTCGAGAAGCCCAGCCGAGACAGTGGAACACCATGCTTTCTAGGAGAAGTAACAGTGATTGTACAGCATACGGTACTGCTGATAAAATTTTCCCACTGTATGGACTTAAAACTTAACCACCCTGTATGAAACATTTTGAAAGTAAACTGTAACAAATAGGACCACAAATTAAAAAAAATTAACCAAATGGTCAGTTCTATATGCAGGTACTAAATTACTGTATTTTAATACAGTCAGTCAAGCAAGACTGTTGTTCAAGCACAACTAGCTCATTATTACTTTTATCTGACTGTAACCACAACAGTTAGAAACTATTTAACTGAAGTCACGTGGTAACATTTGTAGTATAAGCGGGTTCAAATTGTTAATAAAGTTTGTGCCCAGCAACATTTTCAACTACATTGCACGTTCATGTCCACTGTGATGACATCTCAAAATCATAGGGGTAACGTATGGATTTCAAGCGCATGCCTTATACTTGCTCTCTGAGAGAACACAACAACGAAGAGTGAACGCACGCTTGACACAAATAATGAAATTTTTGAAGAAGATGTAGCAGGTTTTGTCTCTTGGTGCAGATCCCTGCAGGCATTTACCTAATTACCACCCCATTTTGCCAACAAGCAGCCCATGTAAGACGTTCGAACATGCGCTATTATGTCGGGTCATAACCAGTTTCCTCGAACCACCTGGCACTTAGTTCTGGCTCGACAAAGTTTTTATAGATTTATTTTTTGCAAACTGTGCGAGTAATTGTAGACCATTCTTCAACAGTTATTTTCATGCTTACTCGATAGGAAAACATGAGCTACAAATTTTCTAAGTTTCTAAAATATGAATGGTAATTGAATTGTGAATGGTAATCTACACCCAGCCTTAGTATATGTTTCCTTTATAATCATTTTCAATTTGAGGCATGGCACAAATTTTGAAGTACGACTAAAGCCTCTGATAGGCATGTTTCGTTTATTTTAAGGTGCCATGCAACAATTTTGAATTAATCCTGCAATGAACTAAAATCTGAATGCCTTGCGAATTGCCTGCGACAAAATGTATTTTACTAGGTAAATTGTTCTGGGCTTGTTACACAAGCTGAAGATGACGACGATACTGACTGCCGCATCGTCACTGATGAGACAAAAGATAGCGCGTGTACAATTTAGGTGCACACACGAGGCCCGATGTGAGTGCTACATTTCTAATTTACACACGAGCGCGCGCAATATGTATGCTTTACCGCAATACACGACTGCCTTGCGGCACTGTTGAATTTTAAAAAGACGCTTAAGGTGGTAATTTCGACCGGAGTTTTCTAGTGCTCCCAGCATATTTTCAATTTTATTTCCTTTTTTTTCTTTGTATAGACCCACAAGAACAGGCATAGCTTAGAAAACCGATTATCGTAATCGGCGACAGCACATTTAAGCCACTTGAAAAATAACGTCGTGTGAACGCCTGCTAATATTCCATCGCTTCCAACTTGTGCATTTCCTATCTGTCTCACGCAGTTACGCAAGACGAAGCTTCAATGAAAGTTTTGGCGCAAGCATACACTTCACCCAAGCGACACATCGATCCTTACGCAACACACGCACTTACCAGGCATACACGTGCGGCATACATCCACAAATAGCATAACACACGGTGTTCATGATCAGGCAAGTCATTACCACATTGCTGAGAGACAGTATTACAGAACGAGACCACATATCCATGTGCAGAGGCTGTTTTCGCGAATGCATACAGCTCCCGGCCAAGCAAAGACCACGGATAAATAACCACCGCACGGTGAACATTCTCACAAGTTAGTAAGGAACCTTACGGTAGACCTTTCGTTCTCACCGCGTAAACGTCCCCCAATTATATGGTGGCTAGATGAGGAGGTGGCGCGAGCACGGCGCGAAAGGCGATCCGTCGTTCCATGACACGTAGCGGTGGCTCTGCGGCTTGTAGTAAGATGCCCCTCCGCCGCGGCCTTCTATTTACTGCGTACACGGCGCTCATTTCATTATCGACTGCTCGTTTTGGCATGAGCACGACAATACATCTAAGCTTTCAAAACCGCTCTGATGCGGTACAAGTATCCGATACTTGCGTTGTGGTCCCTGTAATCTTATAATTTATTTCACTGCACTCACTTTTGGCTAAGAGTGTTTGCTTTTTGGAACCGGTAGCCTGTCATCCTAGTGTGCAGTGTGCGACTGAAGTTCATAGCACCCGCACTCGCTAAAAATATGGCTGGGCTAAAGTGTAAGACTATTGCCGAGATATTGCAAAAGTTTGATCGCCACTGCTCGTGTCAAATGACACCGCTTTTATTCACTACAGGCAGACTTCGGAGATTAACACTTATTTTGCATACAAGATTATTTTACAATAACATATTCGTATCTGAGCAACATACACGAAGCCAAAAAGAAGCAAGAAAACGCATTCCACATACACAAATAGAACAAATTAAAACAAAACATATAGCGAAACCTAACACAAACAGAACATACAATAAAATAAAACATCACGCACAGTTATATTGAAAAATCACAGAAATTTCGCCTTAAACAGTGCCATATTATTGGAATGCAAATACAAATAGTGTGACGTATCTTGCAAAAAAATGAAGAAAAAGCATCTGCTAGTACTCATGAGATTTCTTTTGACACTGGAATGATGCATGAGGAGTAGATGACGTCAAGACTAGGACCAGTTGTCTTACAAGATGAGACACTACAATCCACAAACACAACCAATAGCAGCATTGTTATCATGCTATGGCACTCATGCAAAAATTTTCTGCTGAAAAAAATTCAAAATAGAAGCACTCAACCACATTACAATACACGTCTCAATTTCAGCAATTTCATTCGCTTCTGCCTTTCACTTCGTAAAGAATTCTGGCTTTTCACTTGGAAATGAAGCCTAGCTAACACGTAAAACTTGGTTATCTTGTTGGTGAGAATTGTGCTGTGCTTGGCACATCCAACAAGAGTCAGCTTTGCGAGTTGAAGAAATGAAACTAACTCAATAAGGCTATCACTGTTCACCTGCTTTAAACTAAAGCAGCGTGTAAGTGTGTTTTCAAGTGTTGTCACAAGTGAATTTGGCTGCTCTGATGGGTATAAAAGGCCTCCCCTGTCTACTGCTTTAGTGAGGGATGCTGTTTCTGGAGATGACCCATCCTTTTCTTGAAGCAGCTGTCGGGAACAATCCGTGCACTTGGTGCTGGCAATACTTCGTCTTGCCACATAGCCAGCCATGTAATATATGAGCCTCAAGTCGCTGGCTTGCACAACCATCGAAATGTGACCAAGGAGGTCACAACCATTCAGCACGTCATGAGCCTCAGAAAGATTGCCTATGTCAAGAAGATCATCAATTCTTTGCTGAGGAGTATTGCTGACATCATCAGTTCCTAGTAGCTTCCTACCAAGTTTCTCAAGAATCCTGAAGACACATTTCCATGTGTACGCAACTTAACGAGGTTTTGGAAACGTAGTGTGTTTACTGAGATTAAAAACTGGCTCGAGGTAGGGTGGTCATTACACCCTGACATTTGTCGCACAATCCCAAAAAGCCTTTCAATTGAGTCTAGGCACAACCGGCTTGTCATAAGGTAATGGTAATTAAGCTTGGTAACTACATAATCCAACAAATGCAGATTGCTCGAAAGAGTGAACCGGAGGCCTTCAGCTGTGCTCTGGCTTAGATAGCCTTCGGATGTAGCTGCTCTTTCCCACTCATCCAAATATTCCAGGAAGCTTTCAATAGAACCATGACGAGTGTTTCCTGGCCTCAGAGCGCCTGAACTGCATCTCGAGAGCCCTGGGGAGATTACTTCAGGCGACGCACTTCTTTCTTCTAAAATGTCTACCTCGTCAGTACACGCGGCATTACTTGTCTCGTGTCTCGGAGACTTCACAGGAAGGCCACAGGTCGACGTTTTCGACTTTCTTTTCTGGGGTGCCTTCTTCGACAAATACTGAGGGAGGTTGGGGAACACAGTCGGAATCGCATCGCTTGTCAGCACAGGTCGATCGCGAAGAATCGTCACTGTCACGCCGTTGTTCGTGTGCGTAAACGATCGCACAATATACTGCTCATCAAAATGAAGCTCGCAGATTCTTGAGCTTGCGTCGGGGACTTGATCTGCACGTGGCACTGCACGCTGCCATGCTTTTAAGCGTTCAGGCTCTTTCGGCATGGAAAACAGCGACACACGTTGACCAGATCTCCTCGACGAGACGTAGCCGGACGAACAGCCGGGTGCGAAGCAGTGTGTCTGCGTCGTTTTCTTCTTCATGACGCCCGATTCCATAGCGTTGGCGGTAACGCACAAAAACTTGCACGAACAATCCACGCCGTGTTTTGTAAAACGGCGCGGAGGAGAACGGGCGAAGCACACACGACTGAACGCGGCACAGGCACAGCACGAAAGAATGCACGTGAGCGCTCCGCGGCGAGCATCGGATAGATGGATGGATGGATATGGCTGTACCCTTTAGATCGGGCGGTGGCTAGCGCCATCAAGCCGTAATATTTAATGAACCCAAAACTATATTTATTTATTTTTCCTTAAAAAGTGAGTTTGAGGATTCGTACTTTGCAGTGAAGAGTTTATATTTCACTCGTGCTTTGACTTTAGCCACCAATCAGATATCCTCCTTCTAGTTAAGTCTACTTGCTTAAAGTCTATTTTGCCCTCCCGGTCCCTAAACCCCAGTGCT